TGCCACAACACCAGTCCCCAGTGTTTCAGGGACTCAAGTTTAACATCAGCCAGACCTCTCATCTCCACTAGGGTTTCCACCTTTTGGCTAAACAGAACATTTAGTCCATTTCAAACAGATCTTGCTTCCTGTCCAGCCGTGCTGCCCGACAGGTTCTGGGAGGAAGGCTGGAAAGGAGGATTACAGTGGCAGGTGTGTGCAAATCCCCAGGGCCCCCCAATGCACCCTCGGTGTGACCCAGCATCTCTGAGGAGCTATTTCCCTGGACTTAAAACAGGGAATGATGCCCACTCAGAGGGTCCGATTTGTAAAGCCCTCTGCACATCCCCCAGCTCTCAGCAGTACAGAGAAGCAACCCTGGGTTCTCCCTGCCTCTCCCAAGCGTCACGATTTTTAAAAACAAATACATAGTAGTAGTGTTGGAGGTTTTGCCCTGACCTGTACTTTTCCTGCGTATACAACCAATGTAATTAAGTCAACAGACCTAAGTGTTAAAGTTGACAACAGAGAATTAGGCTAATCACCACTTCTTCTGCAGGATCCCTTAGGGCTGGGTTTCCCCACTACACAGAAATGGTACCCGGCGCTCTACGAATAACAGGGTGGCTTAGACAGTAAGTTTGGCAAAAGCTGGGCTGAACCAAGTGACTCTGGCTCCTTTCATGCAGGACTTCTCAGAGCCTTCAGTAAGTTAGCACGTGCTGTGAATCTCCAAGCAGGCGACACTGTATGGAGGAGTACAGACCGGGAGACGCTGAATCAAGTCAGGCATGCAAGCAGGGCTTCGGCCTCACAGTGCATCCAAATCATTTGGGGGTCTTGTTAACCTAGATTCAGATTCAGGGTGGGCACCGAGATTCTGCATTTCGAACAGGCTCTGGACGATGTTGCAGCTACTGGTCTGGGGAGCACACTTTGAAGAGCAGGGATATCAGTGGAAAGATAGGACCCCCTTACTGACCACTTCACTGGTGAGAACAGTCCCAGCATAGGGAGCTGGCTTGCCAAAGATCACGCAGGGGTGACAGGTGAGGCCAGGCTTGGCTGCCAGCCTTCCCTCCAAGGACCCACTCCCCCGCCCGGCTACCCCAGGGCTCTTGGCCTGCTGGTCATCGCTGCTCCCGATCTACAGCCATCTTCTCAGTCTTGGTTGAGCACTGGAATCACGTGGGGAGCTTTAAAAAAACCTGACGCCTGGGGTCCCCGCCCTCAGATCCTGACCACTGGGTCTGGTATGCAGCCCGAGTCTGGAGATTTTTAAAGTTCCCCCAGTGATTCTAACGTACAGCCAGAATGGAGGTTCAGTGATGCGGGTAAGCCTCACCCCAAATGCCCTCCCCACACCCTGCCTGCCTCGCCAGTGCCTGAGGAAAACCGCCTACAGCAACTCCACAAAGTATGAGAGAATTACCAGATGGGGGATGGAACTCAACGAGGCTACAGCTGGCTACAGCCCGGTCTCAAGATATTATGATATCATGGCCAAGAATCCAAACCAGCTCAGGACGAGAGAGTTTCCATGCCATTCTGTGTCCAGATGAGCAGGGACACACATGCCCTTTGCTCTAAAGCCCCAGTGGCCGAAGAGGGAAAACCTGGACCCTCCAGGGCGAGATGCTCGCAAGTTGGTATGAGACCGCAGTGGGGGTCCTTAAAGACAATTTCAGAATCCGACTGCATGAGGCTACTAAAAAAAAAAAAAAAAAGAGGTTGATGACATTAAGCTTCTTAATGAGCACTGCTGGGAAAGGATTAGTGACAAGAAACTCAATGATTCCAATTAGAGGAGGTTTCAGTCTCTCTGAACATAGTGAATGCAAAAGGGAAAAGCTTTAGAGAGGAGCCTGCCTACAGGACACAGGTGGGGCCCTGGGGCCAGATGGCAGGGTTTCAACCCCAGCGTCTGCTGCCCACCCGCCATGTTCCTTAAGGGCTGTAACCTCAGCCGGCTCACCTGTAAAATGGGAGAATAGTGTCTGCTTAGTAGGGTTGTTGGGGGAGTAAATGAGTTGATATACGTAAGATCCTTACAACAGGGCCAGGCCCTAGTATATGCTCAATAAACTCAAAATACTGGCTTGATTTTCACATAAATTTTCCTCTGGTCTCATCTTTATTACCCTTTTGCCCTGATTGTTTAAGTCTGTTTATATTTTTTAAAGCTTGCTGTGAAGTTTCTGTTTCTGTCAGCTTCCCCAAATTCTTTCTGGAATGAGATAGGGCAGACAGACAGGCACTCCAGTTAGCTACAACCTGCTGAGTGTAATTAGCTCTGTGCTCAGAGCCCTCCTGTGGTGGCTGGGGCTTCGCCTGACACAAGGAGTGAGTGGGGCTACAAGGGCCTGCAGGGGCCCCCTCGGGCAAGGCCACATGAGGAGCTAAGGAATTTCTACTTGATCCTCAGAGCAATAGGCCCTGCTTGAAGGCTGACACCAGGACATGAAAAAATAAGGTCAATTTCTGAAAGCTCGCTGGGGGTTCCTTCAGTGCTGGAGGACTGGGGTCTCCTGGAGGGAGGCCAGGGCTCGCGTCACGGGTGTGCGACCTGTGCAGCCACCCTGGGTCCATGCTTAGCTTAATGCTCTGCTGTCACGATCCTCAGATTCTTAATACTTTTCCAAGAAGGAATTCTGCATTTTCATTTTGTCCTCAGCCCCCCAAATTATGTAGCCAGCCCTACCCTGCAGGAACATCTCACTTGCCCTACATCTATCCTTCCAGGTGAGGCAGTGAAAGTTATGCTCCCCTTTAAAATGAAGAAACTGGGGCCCTAAGAAGGCAAGTTAACTGTCCCAGGGCGCAGTTGGTCAGTGGCCGGGAGCAGCACACCCCAGGTCTTTGGGGTTCAACTGGAGGGCCACCATTGTGGGGAGGCTGGCCACCTCCGCCTCCCCGAGAGCAGTGCTGAGGCTCCCCTGGGCCTGGGCCATGGAAGCTGTCTCTGATCACCTACCCCAGGCTGAGCAAGAGGCAGCAGCTGGTACTGGTCCCCCCTGCCAGCCGGAACTGGGTACGGTCCAGGCCAACGCCCACGGATCTGGGTCACAAGGCCAGTTCCACAACTGCAGCATCCAGTGATTAATGAAACAATGCTACAGGAGCAAAGCAAACACAGGTAATCTTTGAAGGCCCAGGGTCCTTCCTCGGCACTCTGCCTCCTCCCCCAACCCCAACACTTGAGAGCAAATTCAAGGAAAGAAGGGAGGAAAATCACCAATAGCTGAAACTCTGCCTGGCGACGGGAGAGCTGGCTATCAAATCGCACCATACCTCTGGCTTCCTTGAGACCTTGAGAGGGATTTCCCAGGGGCCAGTCTGGACCAGGCACCAGTCTAGGAGTTACCAGTGAATAAAACAGATAAAAATCTTTGCCCTAGGGAGCTCTTGTTTTAATGGGAGGGAGAAAGCGAATGAGCATAATAATTAAGTGAATTATATAATGTTAAGAAATATAGTTGCTGAAATTTCAGAAAAAAAACACAAATAATGAAAGCAGGGCCCAAAATGCACTGGGTGCTTACTCTGTGTCTCAATGCTTTACACATTATTCCATTTAATTCTCTCAACAATGGGTACTGTTGTCATCCCCAGTTCACAGACAGGAAAACACATAGAAGGTAAGTTGCACAAGGTCCTATAGCCAGTAGAAGAAAAAAAAAAAAATACTGATAAGAAAGGGCAAAATCCTCCTGATTTCGTTTTAAGGAGAGCAAACAAGCAGGAAACCTGGTTTTCTTCCAGGCCTCAAAGTGGGGGCGGGGGTCCAATAAGAATATGCCCCTCTCCACTTTGCAAGGTTAAGACATGTGACAGGGTTGTGGGACCCTCCAAGCCCCCCCTTTCCTCCCAGAGCTAAGGCTTTGGAGCTAACAGCCCCACGTTCAAATCCCAGCTCCACTAGCTCACCATGGTCACGGGCAAATGGTCTCCCCTTCTTCTGATTTAAAATGAGATCAAAACTCTCTCTCACAGGCGCAAAGGAACAGATGTCAAGACTGCACCCCACAGTAGTGCCTGTACAGCGGTGAATGCCCCACACCCTCCCCCCACTCCTGGGGCCCCACGATGCCCACCTCCCTTCTCCCCTCCAGTGTTGAGAGGGCAGGGGCACGTGTCTCCCAGCTCCACTCTGTGGGGCACATGGCAGAGGACTCAACAAGGTAAAGGTTTGATAATTGGACACTGAAGGGGAGGAAGGTGCCTGGGACGGTGGAACCTTCCTTGGAACCTGGGCCCTGGAGTTCACAGATCTTAAAAAGTGCGGGTTACTGGGCACAAATGACTCATTCTCCAAGGTGTGAATGTCAAGTTGAAATCCACTCTTGCCGTTAGGTGGGGAATTGATTAAAGCGCCTCATTAAGCCGGGGCCCCCACGGCACTGGACACTCCAACCTCCAACTCAAGGGGCACCAGGTCAGGGGCTGTGCGTGACCTGGGGCCATGGCCCACCCTTCACTCTAGATGCCATGAGGTGCAGGGCAAGACCCTGAGCCCTGGAGCCTGGACTTCCTTCTCTTAAGATGGGGTACAAAGTGAAGGGATTCAATGACCAAAAGCAGGGATTCCCCCAACAAGGTCAAAATCACTGAATCACGTGGGGACAGAGGAAGGGGTAGGCATTACCAGCCTGGGTAAAGGAGGAGGCTTTGTGGAACCAGAATCAATGAGCCAAGCACAGCTCTCCCAGCCCAGGTGTTAATGTTGGTAGACTGCCCCTGAATTCCATCAGAAGGGGCTTTCCTTGTTCGAAACTGCCTTGTGTCTGCAAACATTTGTCTGAGACCCTGGTGCCAGCCTCAGGGCTGCGTGGAAGGGGCCGGAAGCTGACAGATGTTTGCAAGATGGCATCGGTGCCCAGGACAAGCAAAGTACCACGTCAGCCCATACCACAGGTCCAAGAATCATGTCCTCTCCACGCGTAACTCCCCCGCCCCCCGGCCATGGGGCTTACGGGCAGGCTTTCCTTCTGGGAAAGCTGTCACTTTTCCACTTCATTCACACCTGGAGGGACGAATGAGCAGGCAGGGAGGGAGGGCTCCCTTCTGTGAGGCAGGTACCGGAATCCCTATTTTCGTGGCCTCTTAGAGAAGCGACTCATCCACCGGCTCCCACTTCTAAGCTCTAAACCCTACAGGCTGAATTAAGTTTCTCATGCACTCAGTCCCCACAGGTGGGACTTAACGTTTAGCCCCAATCCTCAGGAGACTCTGAAAGGGCTCACACACTTGTCCAGATCATCCAGCTGAGCAGCTAAGGGGAGGTCTGAACGCAGAGCCTTTGCCCTAACTTCTAAAATATGCGAACTTCTAGAATACAGCCAGCTGCTCAGTGGAAGGGACAGAGCCAGGATCCTAATTCAGCTCCTGTTTTCCCGGCCAGACACCCACAGTGTGCCTGCCTTGGGTCAGGGCATCTCCTGGGGCTCCATGCCCCAAGGGGACGTCTGGGGGTGACCCATTCCCAGGCAGGCTTCCAGAAGACCTAACCCAGTACAGTGTGGACCATGAAGCGGCCGGACCCACAAAGGACCCATTGTGGTAGCTGCAGAAAGCCAAGGTCAGACCCTCTGCTGAGTCCTGCCCCCAGTTCCATGGCCTCCTCCCCTCCCTGTGGCGCCCCCATACCCAGCGCACAGGACCAGGACTGGCTGCGGGACAGGCCTCCTCTTCTGTCCAGCCTGAGCTTATGGAAACCTAAAACCCTCCAGCTGCCACCCAGCGAGCCGGGCTGCAGACCCCTGAGGACCCCTGGGGGCTCATTCAAGGTGCTGGGGTCGCACCTGTCATCTGGGTTGGGGTCCACCAAAGGAGGCTCTGTAGAAGAGAGGAAGGCGATGGTTCCGTGCTCCCATCTAGAGAGGGGTGCAAATCTGTTTCCCAGCATGGGGAGGATGCGGGTTTGCGAGGTGTGAGGACAAGCTGGGGAGGGGGCTCCGAGGGGGGAAGCGGTGGGGAGGCCAGGGGAGGTGGGGGGCTGCACGAGGGAGCCCTCCGCGGCTCCGGCTGGCTTTGTGTGCGGCTAGCGGCCGACCTGGGGTCCCCCAGGGCCTACCGAGGCATGCACTGGCCCGGGGGCCGCATTTGCGTGCCAGGCGGGAGGGGTCCGCGGCGTGCCGAGGTACCCCCAGTGCCCGCGGAGGGGGCTTCCCGGTGGCCGGAGTCGCCACACTCACCTCCTGAAGTCAAAGGGCATCGTGCCGTCGCCTCCAGGGGTGGGAGCGCTGCAGGCCGGGCGGGCCGCGGCGCCGCGTGGGTCCCTGCCGGCTGCCAACGCCTCCTCCGGCCGCCCCGCCCCCGCCGGCCGCCCCCAGCCCAGACACTCGCCGCTCACCTCCCGCCGCCGGGAAGTGACGCTCCGCGCAGCCCATTGGGCGCCGCCGGCCCTGGACGCCCCTTCCGCCGCTGGATTAAAGGGGCCCGCGAGCCGGGAAGGGGAGGAGCTGGCCCTTGAGGGTCGAGGCTCTAGGATGGGAAGGGAACCCCCAAAGAAATGTTCGTCCCTTCCAAGGCTCACCCCCACCCCGCCTCGTGGTTCCCTCCACTGCCTTCAGGCAAATCCCTCTGCCTCTCTGAGCCTCCGTTTCTCTCATTTGTAAGATTCCTTGAGTTGTGAAGATTAAATGGAATGATCCTGATGTGGGCCGTGCCTGGAGTCTAGCTCTGAGTAAAGGCCTAATACTGTGTGAGAAGGGAGGAAATCAGGCAGTCTTAGATTTGTAAAGTGCACATTTTTACCAAAAAAAAAAACAACAACAAAAAACAAGGCACTTCATTGCTGTGCCTCTCTGGAAAAGACTCTTGGCTTCTCTGAGCCCCACCCTTTTTCTCATCTGCTCCAAGATGGTGATGACACGTAGTGCTTTTTCCTGGGATTCAAATGAGGAAGCTGCAGTCTGGCTTAGTACAGGGTCTGGTACCTAGTAAGGGCTCAGTCACCTGAAGCTCCTGTGGGCGGCCTGGAGCTGTCTCTGCTTCCATCTTCCAATGGTGTTCAGGACATGCAGGCTGTCCTAGAGACAGGCTGCGACCTGCTCTGTGACTTGGCCCAGGGCACACCTCTCTGAGCCTCAGTTTCCTTCTGTGAAATTCAAGGTAATCAACATTTCCCTGGACTACAGATGGTGGTTGAGGTAACACAAGATTCCTGTAGAGGAAACTCATTCTGAACTGCCCCAGGTTCTGTCGTTGGCCCCACCTCCAAGCTTGTGGTGACATGGGGCTTGAAAAATCCCAAGGGAGGAAGGTGGGGCTCATGTTCAGAAAGTAGGGCCTGCAGGCAGTTTGTTCCTCCATGAACGGAGGGAAATGGTGGTAGGTGTTCCTCTGGGAGGATTTGGCATTAACGGTGCCAGCACCAGGTCTGGGGCAGAGCGGGGCTGTGAACCAAACTCTTGCCTTGGACCATGCACACGGCCTGATCAGTTAGTTGCCTCTCCTTCCCTCTGACCTCTGGCATTCCCTTTTCATTCATTCATTCATTCATTCATTCATTCAACAAGGGGCCTGACTGTGGGAGAGAGGAGGAAATCTGAGCCTGAACTGGAAACCTGGGGACAGCAGGAAGGGTGAAGGGGCCTTGAGCAGCCCCTGGGCCCAAAGCATTGTTTGTTGGCTCCGTGCAGGAGGGAGTCGTGCAGTGGTGGGCATTCGACCGCAAGTCTTCCCTCCTCAACCTGAATCACAGTCTGCTGGTGGCTCACAGGCCAGATGCTGGGGCACCAGGGGTCAGATTCACGGCCCCAGCCCAAACCTATTGCATCAAGTGTGCATTTCACATTATCTTCAAGAGATCTGTTGGCACATTTAAATTTGAGAGGCACTGCTGTGATGAAGGACCTGGCTCCTGGAGGTGCGTTTCCTGTTCCTTTTGCCTAGAGCACTTTCCTCTCCTCTCTCTGCCTGCCACCCTGCTGTATGGGCAGAGAACGCACATGTCTCCCAATAGTCACTCTCCCTTTCTTCCTGTTAACTATGTGAACAGAGCCCAGACTGGAGTCAAACTGCATGAGTTCACGGTCCAGCTTCTAACTCATTTTACTTCTTACTGTCCACTTACTAACTCATTTTACTTCTGTGCCTCAGTCTCCGCATCCGGAAAACAGGGACAATAATAGTGCCTTCCTCATAGATCTATCATGAGGGTCAAGTGCGTTGATGTCAAAGACAGGTCAGTGCCTGGCACAGAGCAAATGCAAGGTAGGGTTCACTATCATTGCTGGTTTTCTATAATGATGGAGCTCCCAACTTTTGATTGGGCATATGGGTGCTCAGGATGAAAGTCCCATTTCCCAGCTTCCCTTGCAGCTAGGTGTGGCCACTTGACTAAGTTCTGGCCATTAAGATGTAAGGGGAAGCATCTTACAGCAGCTTCAGGGATAGTCACTATATTACCCTCTGTGTCCGTTCCTCCATCTGGCTTACCAGACTGTGGATGCCACCATCCTGGACCATGTAGTAAAGCCCACAAAGAGCAGAGCAACAAGATAGAAGGAGCCTGGGTCCCTAGCACTGAATGGCACAGTACCTGTCTTCAAACACCTACCCAGACATCTAAGCAAGAGAGAAATAAACATCTATCTTGTTTGAGCTGTTATTTATTTTTTTAAAAGATTTTTATTGGGGAATTGGGGGGATGGGAACAGCGGTGGGGAATTGCGGGAAGGGGAACAGACAAGTTGCTGTCGTTTTTGTTCTTCAGTCTAGTTGTGGAGGACGTTGCTTCACTGGCCCAAGTTGGCACCATCATTGCGCTCTTCCCGGGCAAGGCAGATCAGTCACCGGCTTTTGGATGGCCGCTCACGGCAGCCAGTGGCCACTCACGCTGGCTGCAGGCTACACACGGTAGCCCATGGCAACCCACTGCCACAGGGGCTGCAGCCTGCGCCGTCGCCAGCGACTCATGGCAGCCCAGCTCCAGGTTGAGCTGTTGTTCAGCATCTTAGCTGTGGAGGGCAGTGTCACTGGCCCTCATATGTGGGATCCGAACCGGGGCCCTCTGGCGTCCCAAGCCAGTTCTTAACCATTGCGTCACTCAGCCGGCCCTGAGCTGTGATTTTGGAGTTTCAGACACTTACACCTGAACCAGGTGCTAGTACACCTGCCCAGACGACTTAATTACTTGACTCAGATAATATTATATATGCAGCATGGGCCAGGTCCCAGCATTATGGGCTCTCATGGCACCCTGTCATTTTCCTTGGAAGAAGTTGTTACAGTTTGTGATTAGATCATTATTAATTGGCAATGACTACCTCCCCATCTTGACTGGAAGCTCTCCAAGGAAGAAGGATGTCTGTCTGTTCACTGTCATACGACAGCATGTGGAAGGAGTGCAATAAGTATGTGTGAAAAGCTGAATGGAGGCTTCCCAGGGAGGGAGGCCTTCCCACAGACAGAGAGGGTGTGTGGATGTGGGTGTGTGTGGGGGGCACATAAATGAGGATCTCTGGGGACTCTTGAGGTCTGTAAATGACTAGGCTGCCAGTCCCAGATGGTCCGTTGGCCCAAAAGACAGCGGGAGATGGAGCTAAGGGGTAAGCGGGAAAGCTCTGGGTCTCTTCGACCAGGGCAGTGACTTAAGAACAGTTAAGTTTCAGGATTCCTAATCCGGTGGCACCCTGCGATAGCCAGCCTCCGTGAGCCTCGTCTCCTGATATTCCCATGCCCTTGTGTAATCACCTCCCTGGATGAATAGGGCTGACCTGGGTAACCACCAGGACATTGCAGAAATGACAGTGTACAACTCCTGAGGCCAGACTGTAAAGGGCACGGAGGCTTCTGCTTAGGCTCCCCTGACTCACTTGTTCTGGAGGAAGCCAGCTTCTGTGTCATAAAGGTACTCCAGCACCATAGGAACTGCCTGCCCCAGCTGAGCTGCTCCTGAATTCGCGGCCCTTAGAAGCTACATGAGATAATAAATGTTGATTTTAAGACACTAAATTGTGGGCAATCAGTTACACAGCAGTAGATAATTAATACAGACTATCCCCCAGCTGGTCTAGTGAAATGGAAAACCACTTCAGTCAGACAACACTCTAGCTGGGTGACCTGGACCCACTGCTTAGCTAGCTGGTTGTCTGAGTCTGAAATGAAGGATGATAATACCTCACCTGTGGCAGGTAGCCTCTAAAACCGCCACCCCAATTAGTCCACTTCCTGCTATTCATGCCTTTGTGTAATCCCCATCCTTAAGTGTAGGCTGGACTGATTGACTCACTTCCAATGAACAGAATATCACAGAAGGGATGGCACTTTGCTCCTAAGACTGTGTTGTAAAAGGATGGTGGTTTCTGTCTCGGACACTCTGTCTCTCAGATCAATTGCCCTGGGCAAGCCAGCTGCCTTGCCGGAAGGCAGCTCGGTGGAGAGGCCCAGGTGAGTGAGCTGATAAGTGAATCGTGAGGCCTGACAACAAGCCCTGTGAGTGAGCTTGCAAATGAATCCTTCAGCCCCAGTTGCGCCTTCAGACAACCGCAGCCCTGGCGGACAGCTTGCCTGCAGCCTCATGGGAAACCTAGACCCAGAGGCATCCAGCTGAGCTGCATCTCCATCCTGCAAGATAACAAATGTTTGTTGTTTTAAGCCCCTAAGTTTGGGGTAATTTGTTACACAGCAACAGATAGCAAATGCATGGCCCTGAAAACTCGTTGTGAAGGTGAATATGTCCAGTGCCTAGCACATAGTAGGTGCTAATTAAATGCTCACAGAATGAATCAAGCCATAAACAGTGGAATGATCTATAGTGTAGAATGTTCCCTGGACCCAACTGCTCATTCTCCTCCACCCCTCCTATCAAACACGTCACCGAAAGTTGTTTTAAGCAGGGGAATGGCTAGGTCAGATTTGTTTTTCTGTAATAGAAGACTTATTTGTGTTCCATGGGTGTGGCTGGCTCAGCTGTGGTCTGGATGAAGAGATTATGAAATAATAATTCTGTGTCTGCTCAGAGAGGTCTTCAGGGTAACTTGGGCCTCATGGAAAGTAGGCCTCTGACCCAACAACAATCCTTTCTTGCTCTACTCAAGACTCCTGGCCAATGAGAAGACATGCATTATTCACTCATTCATTCATTCAAGTCATTCACTGAGCACTTCTTTATGACAGGTCCTCCCGATGTAGAAATGAACATGACACACCACCGTCTGCATCAAGCAGGAAGGAGGTAAGCAAAAGTGTGGTGCCATTGCAAAAACCAGGGTCAGGGGCACCAAGTCCTTGTGTGGATGCAGTTTTGTGTGTTAAGGGCAGCACCAGAGGTCTGGGCAGCTGGGAGTGGGTCCCTCATTCTACCCATGGGACGAACTGGTCTGAACTCTTTCAGTTGATGGTGATAGAAGTCATCTCAGATCAACAGACACCGTCTCAGGCAGACAAAGAGAAACGTCCAGAGGTAGACTTGGGTTCCGGGCACAGTGGAATCCAGGCAACTCCACGGCTGCATCAGGGACTGCTCCCCGCCATCGCTAGGTTCATCTTCCTTCTTCTGGCTCCAACCCCAGGCAGGTTTTCCCTTTGTGGTGGCAAAATGTCTGCCTGTAGCTGCAGGCTGGTGTTTTCCAGCTCAGCCACTCCAGCAGATACAGATGACCTGTTTTCTGACACTTCCAGCAAAAGGCTCCTAGGCTGACCCCCAGGGGCCTGGCCTGGTCACAGCCCTGAACAGTGGCTTCCAGGAGCATGGAGTGTGCTGACTAGCCAGGCATAGGCCGAACAGCAGACCCTCGGGCCTGCAGTGGGATCAGCCTCATGCCACACACACGGATTCACATGGGAGAAGGGTGGTTTCCTAAAAAATGAGTTAGGGCAGCACTGCCAAAGACGGAGAGGACGTTAGGAAGCTACAGGGAATCAGGGAAGGCCTCCAGGAGGAGGAGGAAGATGCTAAGCTGAGACCTGAAGAACAAGCAGGTGTTAATCAGGGGGAGAAAGGCAGGCTGGGTACCTTAGTTATCTATTGTTGCATAACAAATTGCTCAAAACTGAAAACCCATCAAGGATAAGGTTCAGAGAGCTTCCAGGTTGGTCAACACATGGAGATGCACTTCAATTCTGGCTCCTCCATTCTCCTGGCTGTGTGACCCTGGGCAAGTTACTGAACCACTCTGTGCCTCAGTTTGCTCATTGATAAACTGGGATTACGTAATGCTTATGAGTATATCATATTAAATGACTTGATGTAGGTCTAGAGCAGAGGTTCTCAACCTGTGGGTCGCGACCCCTTTGGGGTTCGAACGACCTTTCACAGGGGTTGCTGGGTACTCGTATGTGGGCGTATCTGCATGTGGGCCTGGAGACGGATAGAGGAGCGGTGTCTCGGTTCCTAAGACCATCGAAAATATGTGTTTTCCGATGGTCTTAGGCGACCCCTGTGAAGGGTTGAGAACCGCTGGTCTAGAGCTTAGCGTAGAATTGGGCACATAATATGTGCTCAGTAAAGTGGCAGTTTGTCCACACCCTTCTACTCTGAGGAGGACTCCAGGGAGGGTGTAGGCAAAGCAGCAGCGTTTGGTCCATACAGGAAGGGGGCCTTTGGCCTGCCTAGGGTGTGGTATTTTAGCCACACTTTCCAAGAGCTGTGAAGCTTCTGAGTTTGAGGTCTCTCACCCAGACACTGCTAACTTCTGCCGCCAGCAGTTGGTTTTGCAGGCTGTGTGACCCAGCGCCACTCACTCACCTTCTCCTCTGTTCGACCTGGAGCTCACCTGGACCGTCCCCTCGCTGTCTGCGGTGTGGCATCGGGCTGGGCTGGGTCTGCACTGTGGGTCCCTCCAGAGAGGGCTCTGCTGCTGCCCCTTCTCCACGGGCTCCTCCCTCCAACCCTGCTCCTCAGCCGGACCTGGGGAGCTTGGGGACACCTTTGTGTGGCCTCAGCCTGAATGTGTGTCATGGTGCATGGGTGTCGCCGTGTGTGGGCAGCACTGGCCTCCAGGGGCAGGTGGGTCTGTCCTCCCGGCTGATGATTGTGCTGCGCTTTCTCAGGATGGGCTGAGACTGGCTGAGCATCAAACCAACTTTGACTCTGAGGAGGAAGCAGGAAAGGGCGACCTGGGCGACTTGGTCTGATTCCTGAGCCACTGAAGTAAGTGCCTTTACTTCTCTGAGCCTCAGTCTCTTCCTCTGTAAACTGGTCATCTGCAGGGATTAGAGGCCATACATACATACATACATACATACATACATACATCCCATCCATCCAGCCCACCATCCCATCCATCCATCCATCCATCCATCCATCTGCAAGTTGATGATACACCAGCGAACCTGACAGCAACTCCCTTCATGTACAAGTGCCGAGCACGCCATAAATAATGATAAATATGGATAAAGCCAACTATAACATGTTCAGGCGTCTCCGGCCAGATCCACATGTTCCAAGGTGCCTGCAAATGGAGAAAGCCCAGCGAAAACCTGGCTCACTGTAAGCCCAAGAACCGCACTAGCGGCGAGGTCAAGGGTGTACGAGGAAGCTTTGGGGTCAGAGATCAGGAGTGTACACCAAGCTCTGTCAATTCCTCTCTGGGTCACCTTGAGGATGTCTCATTCCTCACCATAGCCTGTTTCCTCCTCTGCAAAATGGAGATCATACCCACTTCACAGGGTAGTTGGAGGGTCAAGCGTTTATCCTGTGGTCAGATTGGAGCCCCCCACCGCTTTGCATCTGGTTCCAGCTGGACCTCACGTCCCACGTCCTCTCTGGTCTCATGGCCACACTGGTCAAGTGAAATCTGTTAGAACAACCAAGGCCTCTCCTCACTCTGTGAGTTCATCCCATTCCCTTTTCATTCTTTTTGCCTCCTTTACAACAGCTTCAGCAGACCCTAGATAGGGCTTCCTATGTGGCGTAAACTCCAGAAATCCTCACCGAGCCCCAGGAAATGCTTACGTGTTACGGACACAGATGTCGCTGTACCCTCCTCTCCAGCAGAGACACCCACCCACCCCTCATATTTAGTCATCAAAAGACCAATGCTCTTTCTGCCCTGCGCCCCATCATACATTCAGCAAAAATGAATCTGACCTAAATCAGAGTTATTAAAACAGAATTCGCTTCTCTGAAACTTTTTGTTTTTCATGAACTAATTATTTAACTAAAGCAATAGTCGTTCTTTAATTTAAAATGCAACATTAAAAAAGATATTCAAACTGGGAAAAGAGTCCACAATGGAGGGTGACGTCTCTGTTGTCCCCCTCTCCCTGCCCCCCTCCCCAGCACAGGTGACCACCTCTGAAGGTTTTCTCCACTGGACTGGGCTTGTTGGTGGGTCAGGGGTGACTCCGGCCTTTCTTTGGGGAGGCAATGGAGGCGGGCTTCGCTGGGCTTTCCCAGCCAGCAAGTGGAGGCTGGAATGGAGAAGTGAGAGGGGGCGTTTCCCAAGGAGCTGACTGTGCACCAGAAGGCTAGAGGGACGGCAGTGTCCTCAGGGGCCCTGCTGAGGACTGAGTTCAGTCCCTCGGGAGCCTCCAAGGGAGACCTTGGGGTCAGCGGTCCGCCAACAGGGACCTTTAACTCACTTCCAAGAGATCCACTGACCGTGTCAGAGAAGTTCTTCTACAAATATTTATTGAGTGACTACGATGGGACAGAAATAACTCTGGCGTTGGTCTGGGGTTGGGATTGGGGTGAATTAGGAAATGGACCTGGAGAGACCCCAAATCTCACTGTAAGCAAGAGGAAAGGAAAGAACACCAGCTGAACACCCACTCTCTGTCAAGGGCTTTTGTGAGGTTATTTTAAAATTAATTTTTAAATACACAAGTAGGTAGGAATACATTTTCTGCGTAAAAAAATGAAAATTTGACAGGTTAAGCTAAATCCCCCCACTGATATGTGCTTTCCACACCTCCAAGCAGCTAACTCAGCTCTGACACTCTTTACCTGGCGAGAGCGTCAGGTCTCACAGGTCAAACACTCAGTGCCACAAGGCTGTTCCACTTCAGATGCCATTCTCAAGTCCAGGTTGTCATCTGTGCTGCTGAGTGACCAACTCTAAATGGGAGGTTCCGGGACTCCTTCCTTGGGTTCAGTTAATTCGCTAGAGCGGCTCACAGAGCTCAGACAGACATTTACTTACATTTATCCGTTTATTGTAAAGGACACAGCTGAACAGGCAGATGAAGAAGTACACAGAGCAAAGTGTGGGGGAAAGGGCGTGGGGCCTCCACGCCTTCTGCGGCAAGCCGCTATCCCCACATCTCTGCGTGGTCACCAACCCAGAAGCTCTCTGAACCCCATCCTTTTGGTTTTTATGGAGGAGTCATAACACAGGCATGATTGATTGACTCATTGGCCACTGGTGATTGGACTGATTCTCCAGTCCCTCTCCACTCCCTGAAGGTGGGGGTAGGGGCAGGTCCCAGCCCACTAATTACCTGGTTGGCTCCCCTGGGAACCAGCCCCAATCTTTAAGGGCTTTCCAAGTCATTCATTAACATGAACTTGGGTGTAGTTGAAAAGGGTTTGTTACGAATATCAAGCCACCTTTATTGTTCTCATTACTTAGAAAATTGCAATGGTTTTAGGAGCTCTGTGCCAGAAACGGAAGACCAAATATACATTTCTTATTGTAAATCACAATATCACACTCTAGAAAAAACAAACTACAATGGCTACGCCGTCAAGCCATGCTGTTTTTCTCCTCCAGGTCCTTGCCCATATGGCCCTCCCTGCCTGGAAGTCAGCTCCGCATCCTGACCCCTCTGCCTAGGTTACCGCAGCTCTTCCTCTAGGACTTGGTACGCAGGTCACCCGCTCCTGGTTGCCCTCCCTGTCACCCCCTAGGCTCGGTTAGATGTCGCTCCTCTGTGGCCCACAATGTCTTACCAAAGTGTTTCCCACCCCTTTCTAATCGCCATTCTATCTGCCTCCCACCCTTGAGGGGGGAGCTCCTTGAAGCGAGGGGCTGTCCCCTTCACCTGTGTCTCCAGGCCCCAAACAAACCCCGCAGCACATGGTGGGTGCTGCCTACGTGTCTGTGGGGTGCAACGAATGCAACTTCCTCAAGAGCAAACGATTGAGTTTACCATGTGTTTCAGTGGTGATGGGAGAAGGACTAGGCCAACAACATGACAGTACCGGGAAGACAAACCCAAGATCTCTTGAGTTAAATGTACCCAAATGGCAATCATCCCACCCAAAAGTATGCCGACTGTGGGACCATAGTTTCTCAGACCATCTCCTAGCTCAACTGTTCCTCTTAGCTCCACGATGGTCTTCTTTTTCTTCCTTCGTCTGGTCTTTAAGGCTATTGAAAGGGGATGTGTGCCAAGGTTTGCATCTGAACTCAACCAATGGCTGGCTCAGCATTGTGGCTTCATTTCCTTGCTTATGTCCTTTGTTTCAAAAGGGCATTAAAATCCTCTGCCCACACCTGAAACTGGCAGGGATTTCCTGAGAAGAAGGACGCGGGAGCTCACTTTTTGGAGGAACTGTTCCCCTCCTCAAGGTCACAGTGAGAACTCATTATCTCTTAATTAGCCTTTTGCCTCAAAATGCCAGTACCATCTTCTGTCACTACTAGAAGCAGGGGGAGCCCAACGTTTTCACCCCGTTCCTCTCGCTTCCCTTTTCTCCGAACAACTTGGAGGGAAAAGGTCTCTTCATTTCTTTCTTTCTCAGTATAATTTAATGCCTCTTTTACTATATAAGTACAAAAGAATAATGTAAAAATACAGAAAAATAGAAAGCGAAAGACGCCTACTACAGAGGCACCACCTCATTTAGAATTCTACCAGCTTTTTCTCTAGGTATAGTTTTTTCAATTATGTGATCGATATATCAAAAAGTGTATATAGGGCCGGCCGAGTGGCGCGATGGTTAAGAACTGGCTTGGGAGGCCAGAGGGCCCCGGTTCGGATCCCACATATGAGGGCCAGTGACACTGCCCTCTACAGCTAAGATGCCGAACAACAGCTCAACCTGGAGCTGGGCAGCCGTGAGTCGCCAGCGATGGCATAGGCTGCAGCCCCTGCTGCAGTGGGCTGCTGTGGGCTACCATGTGTAGCCAGTAGCCAGCGTGAGCAGCCGTCCAGAAGCCGGCGACTGATCTGCCTCGCCCGGGAAGAGCGCAATGATGGTGTCAACTTGGGCCAGTGAAGCAACGTCCTCCACAACTAGACTGAAGAACAAAACGACAGCAATGTGTCTGTTCCCCTTCCCCCCATTCCCCAGCGCTGTTCCCATCCTCCCCCCAATTCCCCAATAAAAATCTTTAAAACAAAAAAAAGTGTGTATAACACAGATGTATAATTTAAAGAATTACTGACTGACTACCCATGTATCCATCACCCAACTTAAGAAAACAGACCATCACCAATACCTTAGAAGCCCCGGTGTGCCTCTCCCTCCCAACCCACCCACAGGTAGCCATGATCCTGAATTTTGCGTGACGCGTTCCTTTGCCTTTCTTTATAGTTTATAGCAGTCTGTTGTATGGGTAGACTGTACTCTGATTTAATTTATTTGTTCTTCTGCTGATGGATATGCAGATGGCTGCCAAGATTTTTTTCATCTTTAAAATATTTTATTAAATGAAATGCCTAAAGGCATATTTCTATTGTGATAAAATACATATAAACATAAAATTTACCACTTCAAGCATTTTTACACGTACAGTTCAGGGGCATTAAGCACAGTCACACTGTTTAGCAACCATCACCCCCATCCGTCTCCAGAGCTTTTTTTCATCTTCCCAAACTGAAACTCTTCACCCATTAAACACTAACTCCCCATTCTTTTCTCCCTCTATCCCCTGACAACCACCCTTCTACTTTTTGTCTCTATGAATTTGACTACTCCAGGTACCTCATACAAGTGGAATCATAGAGTTTTTCTCCTTTTGTGACTGGCTTCTCTCAGTTAGCATAATGTCTGCAAGGTCCATCCGTGTTGTAGCGTGTGTCAGAATTTCCTTCCTTTTTAAGGCTGAATAATATTCTATTGTATGTATGGACCACATTTTGCTTATTGAAGGGGAGCAGAATTTGCCACCCCAAAATAAGCCTCTATGGGATACTGCTTTAGGCTGGGTAATTTTAAGAAACAACAGATATGGGAGAAGCTCTGAGAACCAAGTAGAAGTTGCCCTTTGTTAAAGGACATTCACCTCTGTGAGGGAAACGTCCATCTGTAAGGGTGCTTCCCTCACCGTACCAGGAAGAGGAAGGGAGCTACATCTCTAGAAACCATTATCAGTGGAGAAGGCATGGACCTAACTCAGCAGAACAATCACTGTTGTTTGCCATGCTCTTACTGGTCACCTTTATAACTGATTCCCCACCCTCAACATTTTCTTTTATCTTTCGCTGAAGGCACTATTTAAGGTGATGGCTTCTGCCATTTTGGTGAGTTACTCAGCATTCTCAGGTCTCTCCCATGTATACAGGAGATATACTCGTGCGGGAGAGGAAGACATTTTCCTCTCCCCTTCTAGGTTTTTTTCAGCTGGTCTAATAATTACATTTACATGAGGCAGAGTAACAAGAGAAAATAACCAAATTTCGTTACATAGATATGTATGGGAACCCCACATACATGAGAGCATCAGAGACCCCACATACATGAAATGTTCAGAGACAGAAAGAGAAAGACAGGTGCCATTCTGAGCTAAGGGTGAGATAAGTCACCTTAGGGCTTCAGAGAGGTGGAAGGTCATTGCAGGACGATAAGAAGAGCAGATGTTCAGTGATTAGAAGTTTGCCCTGCCCTATACATAGGTCATAGAAAGTTATCTCTAGTAATAATTCTTAATATGGGCAAAGTCTCAAGTTGCAGTTCTCTAAGGGAGAGGTAAAAGTTTCTCATGAGCTTGCAGGATCTCGACTGCCTTCATCTGAAAATGATTCACATGCCAAAGTGGCACATCTTGGGGAGGCCTGTTCTGAACCCCTTCACATGTTATTAAACTTCAGTTTGTTGTTCTCCTGCTAATCTGTCTCACATCAATTTGATTATTAGGCCACCCAGAAGAATCTTGAAGGGTAGAGAAAAATTTTTCCTCCCTGACATTATCCATTCATCTGCTGATAGACACTTGGGTTGTTTGAACCTTTTGGCTCTTGGGAATAATGCTGCTATGAACATGGGTGTACAAATATCTGTTCAAGTCCCTGCTTTGAGTTCTTTTGGGTACATACCCAGAAGTGGAATTGCTGGATCATAGGGTAATTCTATTTTTAATTTTTGAGAAACTGCCATATTATTTTCCACAGTTGGTGGCTTCATTCATATTCCCACCAGCAGAGAGGACAAGGGTTCCAATCTTTCCACGTGCTCACCAGCACTTGTTTTCTGGTGTTTTTGTTTGTTTGTTTGAATAGTCATCCTAATGTGTATGGAAATTGTTCCAGGGTTTTTAATAAACAAATAGCTATGACCTTTCTAGTACATATACTCTGGTGCACATGTGTAAGAGTTTTTCTAGTTAAGAAAAGAGTGGAATTGTTGGGTCATAAGATCTGTGTGTGTATTATTTTCC